CTTGATTTTTGCAAACATCCAGCTTGTCGGCCTCCCCAACTACTCGCTACTTAGGCGGCAGATCATGCAGATCTCTGCAGCCCCTGGGCTCTCCTGCATCAGTTTCCCTGACGGTAACACCCCCATCCACGCCCGACTCATTTCCATACAGTTCAAGACACGGATCGTCGCCTTCGACGGCATCCATGGCGTTGCTCCCTGCTCTATCAGCCTACCCACCACACGATCTAATCAGCGGGTTCGTGGTTGCTTCACTTCACTGAAAATTATTGGGTGGGAATTTAGCCACTTTGCCCCAACCCTCTGGAATTTCATCCTACAGCGCACTCCAGCACCCCCACCCCAACCCGCGCCTCGCCGCCTGTTTGCTTTCTTAAAGACACATCTCAAGAATTTCCTCTTTGACTTTTTCATCAACCGCCTTCCCAATGGGCCCTCAATATTCTTTAATCCAAACACTCAACTCAGGTCCGAAAGTGTATCCAGCGACTTGGGACGTACACCCGACCTGAAAGGCCATACACAAATGTGATTCTTGGAAGGTGAGTTAGGAGATGCGAGTGAGGAGATAGAGGAGAGAAGGGAGCGTGGGGAGTTAGAGTAGAGAGGTGAACGTAAGAAGAAGAGAGAGATCATAGGAAGGAGAGAGGGGAGTGGAGGGGGATATAGCAAAGAGCAGACAGTTTAAAAGAGCGAGAGACGGTAGAGAGCAGAGTGGAGTGAGAAGTAAAAGGGGAATATAGAGAGGAGAGAGGGCGGATAGATATAAGTGTTAGAAGTGGAGAGACAGTGGCTGGTTGGTTTGTGAGAGGGATGTTGAGTTTAATTGTGGGAGGGAGGGGACAACGAGGAGGAGAGAAAAGGTTAGAGAGAAGGTTTGAGGGATACGTATGTGGGATGGAAGAGGGAAGGGATGCGAGGGAGGCGAAGGAGTAACAGACGTAGGGGCAGTAGTTAGAGCGACGGAGATCACGTTGGGGTGATGGAGGTGTAGATGGTGAAGGGGAGGGATGGGGAGACGAATAGTATTGAGGGAGGGAAAAGGGAGTAGGAGATAGAGGTGGAGAGATAGCGTAGAATGGATTGAGAGGGAAGGGGCTAACGAGGGGAAGGCGTGCATTGGAAGCAGGCGGAAATGCAGGGGGAGTCGGAGTCAGGAATGAACTCGGGCTGCTGTTACTGGTACAGAGAAGGTTGAACCGGGAGGCAGATCGTTGCAATGATAATGTCCTCTGGGTCGCTTTGTCCGCATGAAGCTATATTTTGCTATATTGCTACATACATGGAATTTGTCAAAACTCAAGTTGTTGTTGATGGGGAACGGGAGAGGTTCGACAATAGCCAGTGAACGCAATCCTTACCGAAAGGAACAAACCGTGTATTCTGCCTATTAAAGATTGTTGAGATAAGTGTCTCTCTTTCTGGGGGGAGGGAGGTCACCAAACCCAATCTTCTGGAAGACTCTAAACCGAAATAGAAATAATCCGAGAACAGAACATGCCGTTCAGCCCAGTGTAGCATTTATGAGTCTATGAAGGAGTTCTTGGTTCAGTCCTTATTGTCGCCTCTCCCCATTGTGCCTTTGTTGGTGCTCACTCCATCACTAAATCTTACCAATATAATCCCGTTCCCTGATCTATCTTTCCCCATCATGTCTGTGCTTGTGCTCGCTCCTCCACTGAAGCCCCCCAATCTAATCCCATTCCCTGTTCTTTCTCTTCCCTTTTGTGTCGTTGCTTGTGCTCATTTCCCCACTGGAGACCATATTTGCGATAACATTTAATGGCTGCCCTAGCGATTGACCATTCATGGTGTAATCAGATCCCTGTTTGTATGAAATATTTATTAATGAATTCTGCTTTGATTTTGTTTTCTTGTGCAGTGATATTTCTGGAGAGAAAAACAGTGGAATCTGCAGGTTAGTCACGCAATATCGCAGAGAGAAGCTGCTGTGGAAGCATTAACTGCTCAGAGTTACTCTCTGCCTCTATTCATCTCTGTCTGTCGAATAGGAGGAAAAGCCGTCACACAATCCACAGGCCATGTTAGTAGAATGGCTTAAAACTTCCGTTTCTACCTCGAACTAACTTCACGTGAGAATGTGAATGTGTGAGTGTGTGTGTTTGTGAGAGTGAGAGTGTGTGCTTGTGTGAGCGAGTGTGGGATTACGAGTGTTTGTGTGTGAACGAGTGTGTCACTATATGAGTGGTTGTGTATGTGTGCGATGTTTGTGAGTATGAGTGATTGTGTGTGTCCTTTTGTGTGGGGAAATGAATAGGTGTTTGTGTGAGTGTGTGTTAGTCAGTGCGTGTGTGTAGGAGTTTGAGTGTTTTGGGGTGTGCGTGCGTGTGTGAGTCAGTGTGTGCGAGTGCTTCTGGTATAAACAGACAGAACAGCTACACCCTCCCAAGCCACAGCAGCGCTGGCCAGCACTCCCCCCATCAGCATGGACAGCACTGAGCATCAGGCTGGACTGTGCACTCCCACCTTGACATGGGGTGGTGGGGGCAGCTCAAGTGCACAACCTTCTGCCTTGGAGGCAAGAGGCCTAACAAAAACGAGTCAAGCGAGCGGGGCTGAGAGTGCCGGTGATGCCGAGCACGATGCTGGCTTACCCGTGCAATATGGCGTGGATCTGACGAAGTTACGCAACATCTTGAAGGAGGAGGTCAGGTCGGTGTCTCTGCCAAGGCCTCGCTCTATCTCTACCAAAAAGCGTTGGGAGATGTCCTGTAGCGTCTCGTCAGACAAGTACCTGCACCACCTGCATATAGATGGGGATGGAGAGGTGGGGAGGTGTGGGGGTAAGAGAAGGTCAGTGGCAGCAACTCAAACAATACCTATACCTGGGGTCTTTCACGCAGATGACAGTGTCTACAAACACCTGGGTCCCCAAAAAACTTTGTGCATTGATAGTTTTTACTGTGACACTTTTTACATCTTTGTCGCTCTCTCGCACCAGCCCACCCACCCCCGAGTCAACATGTTGTGGATTCAAGCTCCGCATGCAGACAGACTCTCACTCGCAGTGACACACACACATCCTCCCACAACACATTGCTCTTTAGTCGGTTGTCGCAGTATATAATTTGTCTACTTACACAATATGCTGCCATTCAATCCTTGTGAAATCTTGGGAGTGATGGGTGGTGGGCGGGGTGGGGGGAGGCCGGTGGGGGTTCTCAGAGGTCAGATCAAATACGAGGCTTAAAAATTGGGATCTTTATGCCGGCGTATGAACAAGGCAGAGCTGGGAATGTCCTCACGCAGAACCTTCCCCACGGATATATTTGCCGTGTGTCTGGACGCGTTACAGTTAACATCTGCCACCGTCAGGGAAGAGGTGGTGCCTTGTGTCTGGAGGTGCATAACACTGTCCTGTGATGGCTGTATCCCATCAGGCAGTCGCTGAGCTTCGCGGCACGTCTTGTCCTGTGAGGCAAGAGCACCATAACCCTGACTGACTGACGGCCCGCGGTCGCACCACACGTCCGGTGAGAGGAACTGCCGCTCGGTCCATTTTTCTCACCTCAGACGCTGACAGCATCACCATCCATGTTTGCTCACTCCAATTTGCCAATTCAGTCCCGAACCTTAGGGTCTTGTTTGACCCTCAACAATACATTCTGCCCCCACATCTGCGCCATGACCCGCTCTGCCTCCCCACCCCCCCTACCCCACATCCGCAACGACTCCCGGCTCCGACGCTGCCTCACACCGCAGGCCCACGTTTGTTTCCGCAATTTCAGCCACCGATGCGTACATATGTCCATCTAACGCTCTGCCTTATCCCTTCCTTCTCCATTCTCAAGTGGCACCTGAAGATTTTCCTATTCGACCATGTCTCAGGTCACCTCACCATCCCTCAGACCACGAGTCGTGTTCCGCCTTTGTCAAGTATTCTGTGTTCGAAGGGGCGTGGGGGTGATGGTGGTGGGGGTGCGATGGTTGGCGGTGGAGAGGGGTGTTGTATAGGGTGGTGTTATGCCTCGGGTGTTCTGTGAATTTGGGTGCTGTGCCTGGGGCTTGTGGTCTCTGCTTGGGATGTGGGGGCACAATCTCTGGGGATGTATGTGCCCCGGTGTCCGAGGTTGTGCCTGGGCGGAATATTGGGTTTTCTAGCGGGTCCAGGCCTGGGTGTTGGAAGAGCGTGTGGGAGGCTGTGCCCACGTAGGTAGAATGGTACCACGAAGGGAGGATTGTGCGATTGGGGAGGTGCTGTGCCTCGGGGGAGCTGCACCTATGGAGTGTTGTAGACTGTGTGGGGGAGCTGTGCATTGGCTGGGGTTTGCTGTTTGCTGGCGAGGTCTGTGCCTTGGGGTAATGTGCGCTGAGGTGGAGTTGCCTCCCGGTCTATGGCTTGGGGTCTGCGACCTGTTTGGTGTGTTTGTGGCGTGTCAAAGTGTGGTGAGAACCGTGCCCGGGGTTTTTGTTGGTGCTTTGGGTGTTGGCTGAGGTTGTGCTCTGTTGAGAGGAGCTGTGCCTAGGGGTATAATGGGGTATAATCTGGGCTCTGGGTACTTTGCCTGGGATGGGGGCTGTACTGCACCTGCGATGGTGATCTTAGCATTGGGTGGGCTTTGCCTGTATGTGGATGACCAGTGGGTGGAAGCTAGGCCCAGGGGTGAGCTACAGCAACAGCAACAGCATTATCACTCTTTCGGACGGGAGGGAGTCTCAAACGGCTGAATAGTCAGCTTTCGAGGCCTGGGCATGGGGCAGGGGTGGTGTCGCGGTGAGGGAAGATAGAGAGATGGGATTGAGACCAAAGGCAGATAGAAATAAATGTTCGTTTTATCGGCCTTGAAGGAGGCAAGGGAAGAAACGAGGTAAAGGGAAAGTGGGGTGGAGTTCCAGAGTGCGGGAGCAGAACGGCTGAAAACTCGGTCGCCGATGCTAGGGCGGGTCTGGAGGAAGACATGGAACAGGCCGGAGCCCGCTCAACGGAGGGAGCGGGCAGTTTGTTAGGGAGTCAGCAGGTCAGAGAGGTAGGAGTGAGTATGGCCACGGATGGCCTTCAAGGTGAGGACGTGCATCTTGAACTCGATTCTCTAGGGGATGGAGAGTCAGTGGAGTCGGGCGAGGGCGGCAGAAATGAGATCACGGAGCCTGAGAGTACACGAGCAGCAGAGATTGGATGATCTGCAGCTTGTAATGGGAAGAGTTGTTAACGCCGATGAGGAGGTAGTTCTGAGGTGGCTGGACATCTGGGGTGGAGCTGAGCAATGAATTGAGTCCCTTTGCCTGGATGTGGTGAGATTGCGGGGTGAGTGGGCGTTGTCAGGCCCTAGTTGATGGGCTGTGCCCTAGGGCTGGCTGGTCTCTGGTGTAAGGCAGGGTCTGGGCTCTGCTGTGTGTGTTGCTGAATTGTAGTCACAAACCTGAGCTACCAATAAACGAGTAGTGCGACAATGTTTGTGTCTATGTATGTATCTTTGTATCCGCCGATAACTAAATAATCATTTCTTCAAAGCGCTTCACTGTTTGTGAATAGGCTGCATATTTTGTAGGCGAGAAGTGGCAGCCAATCGCGCACAGCGGTGTCCTGTAAATAGTCGTAGAATGATTGAACAAATTACTATTTATATTTTGAGAAGATTGTTATCTCCGGAAAAGAGGCCTCACGATTGAGTAACGGGTTCTTACTGAATGCTATGTAAACGGAGGCAACTGAGGTGAGGAAAGTTGCCAGCATTTCCCCCCGGCCCGTGAAACTAAATATTAAATACAATAATCTAACATAAGTATAATAAACTAAAATAAAGCAAAATAACTCAATGTAATTAATAATGTAATCTATAATAAAATAAATTATAATATTCTAATATAAATATAATATAAATTTGATTTCAAGATCCTCATCCTCACCTACAAGGCCATTCACGGCCTTGCTCCCGCCTACCTTTCCAACCTACTATCCCCCTACTTACCTGCCCGTACCCTCCGTTCCTCCGGCTCTGGTCTGCTCCACGTCCCCCGCCCCAACCGCCCTACCATCGGTGGTCGGGCCTTCAGCCTCTCAGCCCCCAGGCTCTAGAATTCCATCCCCCAGTACCTTCGCCTTGCTACCTCCCTTTCCTACTTCAAGGCCGGTCTCAAAACCTTTCTCTTTGACCGTGCCTTCAGCTCCCCTTTCGACTCTCTTCCCCCTCCTCGCTCCCTCCCTTCCCTCCCCTCACCCTGACCATTTCCACGCTCCTCGCTCCCTCCCTTCCCTCCTCTCACCCTGACCATTTCCCCCCTCCTCGCTCCCTCCCTTCCCTCCCCTCACCCTGAACATTTCAACCCTCCTCGCTCCCTCCCTTCCCTCCCCTCACCCTGACCATTTCACCCCTGCTCGGGTCATGACCCAACTGTGCAGCGCCTTGGGACGTCCTCCTGACGTGAAAGGCGCTTTATAAATGGAATCTTGTTGTTGTTGTTGTTGTATAAAGTGTAATAATAAAAATATAATAATGGAATATAAATTATAATAACAGTAATTTTGTTCGCAACTTAACTGTAACAGTTCGAGTTAGTAGTCTAGTAAACTGTTACTGTTAATGTGACACACGAGTTGTGGACGTAATGTCGCCAGCAGTGAGTGCAACCATTATGATTATGATATTTGTTGTGTTGTTTACCCCCCAGACACCCTCGGACTGTGACAGGCACTCTTTACATGTGCATTGTATTGTATGTATTGTATTATCCTGGAAGTCTAACGGGAATCAAACAATTAATACTTCGGGTCATGTTTTACAGAGAGTGGGAGTCTGCGGCTGATGAATGGCAGCAGCCCCTGTGCCGGGAGATTGGAGGTTTACCATAGAGGACAATGGGGCACAGTGGATGGCGAAGTTACCTGGGGTATGAAGGCGGCTGCTGTGGTGTGTAAGGAGTTGGGCTGTGGAGCCGCGCTGTCAGCATCAGGAGACGCTCACTTCGGGAGGGGCTCAGGCTACGTTATGACGTATGTTGTAGAATGCAGAGGGAATGAGTCTACTCTGAGGGAGTGTCCCTCAGGAAACTGGAGTCATTATTTACTGCCACACTCCTATGATGCCGGTGTCATCTGCTCAGGTAAACAATTCATTCTCTTATCAATATCAGTTCTCATATTTTCGGGTGTGACCACTTTGAGGTCAGTATAGCGGGCTGGGGGATACAAGCTGCTGAGCAACAGTTGGATGAGAACGGGGGGTTGGGGTTGTGGGGAGGTGTGAGAAGAGGGCGGTAAATACAGAAGAGTGAGAACAGGTGGTGGTTGAGCCAATTGGGGTGAGCAAATTTGGGTGAGCACAAGACTGGGGTGGAGCAGGGAGTGAGCACGGTGATTGGGTAAGTATTTTGGGGTTTACCACAAACGGATGAGCGCACAGTCATGTGCAAGAAAAGGACGATGAGCAAAGTGGGTGGGCGGGCGTGAGAGCATAGGGTGTGTGATCGCTTGGAGCAGCACAGAGTGGGGTTAAAAGAGGGTTTAAAGCTTAGGGGGCTATGAGCAAGGGGATCAGTTGAAAAGGGAGAAGGGTAACAGCAAGGATTAATCACACGGTGCGGAGAGCAGAAGGGGTTTTAACACATTGCTGATGAACATATTTGAGATTGGGCAGAAGTGAGGTGACCAAAGGTTGGGGAGAGTACAAAGGTGTTGAGCACAGTTTGGGGAGAGCACAAGTGTGGTTGAGCACAACGAGACTTTTGAGAAGCTGTTGAGTGGGGGTGACCACAGAGGGTGAGTTCAGTGGAGGGTCAGCACAAAGGGCGGTGTGCACAATGGGGATGCGTACGTATCGGTGTTTGAGCACTGGGAGGGGTTAGCAAACGAGAAGTGAACACAGTGGGGCTGAGCAGAGGGTTGAAAGTACTTTGGTTTGAGCGCGAGGGTTGAGCACAGGGGGTGAGTAAAGGGTGAGAAGCACGGTGGCGGGGCGTTAAACGTATGGTGAGCCCAGAGTTTGCGTAGAGCACAAGGAGGGGGCCAGAACAGCGATGTTGAGCACAGGAGATCAACAAAAGAAGGTTGAGCAGAGGCAGGGAAAGCGAAGCGGGTGTTAAGCACAAGGTGTGTGTGAACACAGGCGAGCGACTATGGGATGATTAGCATAGGAGGCGGTTGAGCACAGTCGTGTGGGAAAGCACGGGGGAGTGAGCAGGTGTGGGGGTAAGCTCAGATTGGTTGAGTACAAGGTGCTGGGTGAGCACGGGTGGCGGCTGAGCATGGCCGATGGTGGGGGTGACCGTGGTGGGGGTATTACGCACACCTCCTCTTCCAACCCAGTTTCAAACGACCTCAAATTATGTTAATTGTGTATACATTATACATTATATATTACAGTTGTGGCTGTGGATAATGGATTGTATTTGCAGGAGGTCAACCCCCCAGACTGGTGAATGGAGGCAGCCGCTGTGCGGGGAGATTAGAGCTGTACACCAATGAAACTTGGGCGACACTTTGTGGCGAGAACCTGAACACGGAAATTGCAGTGCATGTTTGCAAACTTTTGGGATGTGGATTTGCTGTATCAGCCACAGGTGACGCTCGCTTTGGAGAAGGCTCGGGTAGTGTGGTTGGTCGACCTGACTGCGGACATGGACAGGACAGTAGCATAACCTGTTCAGGTAGAGACCACAACTACAACAACTTATATTAACACAGCGTCGGGATGGGGGTGGTTGAGTTCAGGAATGTGAGTGCGAGTACAAGGGGGTGAGCGTTGGCATAGAGGTTGAGTGTCAGTATAGGGGACTGAGCACGTGGGTGACTGTGAGTACAGCTCATTTGAGGATGAGCAAAGCGGGATTGTTGTGAGCACAAGATGGGACTGAGCACAGGGATGAGCCCTGGTAGATGATTCGTTTTTTTTAATCTTGAACTGAACAGTAGAACAGATAAGATAAATGGCTGCGTGAAAATATTGTTTCAGTATACAGCATATAGCTTCGGGCACAACACGTTGTTACTATGAGGATGGTGGAAGGCAAATTGGATGGACCTCAGTCTTCTGCCGCCATCTGGCTACTCCATCTCACACTCACTCTCTCTCTCGCTCTCGGAAATGGCATGGAGATACTTTAGATAATATGTCTCTTTCTCACCCACTCTCTCGCGCTCTAGCTATCTCTCTCTCTCTCTCCTCTCTCTCTCTCCCAGACCAGATGGAGTTACGGCCGGTTAATGTGTCTACCGCTCACGAACTCTGTCTCACACAATTGCTCTCTCACACTCTATCTTTCTCTCTCGCTCACATATCAGATGGAGTTATGACCCAACTGTTCAGCGCCTTGGGACGTCCTCCTGACGTGAAAGGCGCTTTATAAATGGAACCTTGTTGTTGTTATGTCTTGTTTTTTCCTCTCACCCCCCTTGCTCTCTCTATCTCTGTCTTAAACTTGCAGGCGTGATGGCTTATTGATGTCTTTGTCTCGCACCCTCCCTCCCTCATTCCCTCTCTCACTCTCTCCCTCTCTCTCTCAAACTCGTAGACTTCTCCTTCCGGAGGCTGCAGTTAATCCAGAACTTTGCAGCACGTTTCCTCTCCCGCAGCAAACTCCGTGACCCCATCTCCCCGACACTCACCCGACTCCATTGGCTCCCTATCCCTCAGAGCCTCCAGCTCCTGGTCCTCACACACAAAGCTCTCCATGGCCTCGACCCACCCTGCATCTGCGAACTCATAACCCTCTACCAACTAATCCATTGCATCCGCTCAGCCGGCTCCCGTCGCTTACATGCTCCACCGTTGGCAGGAGAGCCTTCAGCCACTCTGCCCCCAACCTATGGAACTTCATTCCCCAAACAATCAGCATCGCTCACTCGTTAGCCTCCTTCCCGTCCTCCTTAAAACGCTCCTCTTCGAGCATGCCATCGCTCCCCCCCACCTTTTTCACTCCCTCCCGTTCCCCCCACTGAACCCAGATCAGGTCTGAAATTCTGTACAATGTCAAACGCCTTGGGACGTCCTCCCCACGTGAAAGACTCTATGCAAATTAAACCTTCCCGTTGATGTGGAATCTGTCTCTCTCTCTCTCTCTCTCTCTCTCGCACAGACCAGATTGAGTTACGGCTGGTGAGTGGATCTCACTCCTGTTCGGGCCGGGTAGAGATGCTGTTTATGGGGCTGTGGGGCACAGTGTGTGACGATAATTGGGATTTGGCTGACGCTGATGTTGTTTGCTCGGAGCTGGGCTGTGGGCCGCCGATCGCTGCCGTGACCAGTGCGATGTTTGGAGAAGGAAAAGGTCAGATCTGGCTCGATGACGTGGCCTGTGTCGGCAATGAGTCCCACCTGTGGCGATGCCCCGCTAGAACCTTGAGCCAACACAACTGTAATCACGGCGAGGACGCAGGTGTGGTGTGTATGGGTCAGTGAATTCCTCCACCTGTTTCTCAACGTCTCTGTCTCTCTCCCCTTCACTTTTTCTGTGTTTCTCAGACTCTCAATCTCCTTGGTTTCTCACGCTCTATCTCTTCTTCTGAATCTTTCTTCTGCTTTATTTCTCCTGCATTCTTTCTTTGTTTCTTTCTTTGTTTCTTTCTTTGTTTCATTCTTTGTTTCTTTCTTTGTTTCTTTCTTTGTTTCTTTCTTTGTTTCTTTCTTTGTTTTTCTTTGTTTCTCTCAGTGTGTATCTCTGCTTGTCTCCCTTTCTCTCTGTAGCTCACTGCCCTACATCTGTCAATTCCTCGGTCTCTCCATCCTATTTGTGCCAAAAAAACAAACAGACACTGCACTACACAGTGTGTACTTTGAAGTTCATTGAGGCGTCTCGAACATGTGATGGGACGTTTTTATATACGCAAAGATTCTCTCTCTCTTTCACACTCTCTATCTCTCTCTGTCTCTTTCTCTCTCGCGATATCTCTGCCTCTCCATGTATAATCTTATAGAGTAGTGGACCAATTTCGTGGGGATGAATAGCTTATAATAATAATCATAATAATCCTTGCATTTGATATAGCGCTTTTCACGTCGGGAGGACGTCCCAAAGCGCTTCACAGAACACACTGTAAAGTGAATTGACTGTATATTTGTGGGCGAACGCGGCAGCCAATTGCGCACAGCAATGTCCCACAAACAGTCGTAGATTGAAAATGACCAATTTAATTATTGTTTTTAGTTTTGGAGGGATTATTATTAGGCGTGTGGAGTAAGGAAACTTGCCCAAGGTTTCGCCCTCTGCCTGGGATTGAACTCAGGTCTCTCACTTGCAAAGCGAGTGCTCTAACCACTGAGCTACAGGTCTCCACAAATTTTCTTAGAAATTCTAGCTTAGAAATTTTCCGAGTTTCCAGTATATATTTCAAAATTACCATCACCCTATTTCACTATCTTTCCATGTGTTGCACGTCTGCATCTCTCTTTTGCTATTTGCCCATCCTCTCCCCTTCTTTTTAAACTCTCCATTTCTCCGCCCACCAAACTCCATGTATCTGCATATCTCTCTCTCTCAATCTCTCTTTCAATCTCTCGCTTTTGATGACTCACTCCATCTCACGTTTAAGTTTGATTTTCTCTCTTCCCCTCTCCCAAACTTTCTCTCTAGGAATTCGTTGAGTGTGAGCTTCTCATTCGTGACTCACATTCAGTCTGTCAATCACTCAAGAACTCCATCCTTCACTATTCCCCTCAGTCTCTCCCTCCGTCTCTATACCTCGCTACATCTCCGTCCATCCGTATAATCTCTCGCCACCTAATCGTCGCCCTACATCCCAGTATATTCCATTCTTTCCATCTCGCACGCTCTTCCTCTGTCCCTTTCACTTTCTCTCTACAACCCGCCGTCAGTTTGACACACACTCTCTCTACATCCATCACACACCATACCTCCTTCCATCTTTCTTACACACGCTTCATCTCACTCTGCACCTTCGCTTGACCCTCTCACACGCGTCCCCTCCATCTCCCTATAGTCATTCTAGGCCTCCCTTCTCCTCTAGCACTCATTCTCTCGAACCATCCCTCTCACACACTCTTCATCCGTCAATCTAAAACACTTTTTACCACCCTGCAACTCTCTCACTCTATATATCCAACAAACCTTCTCTGTATCCGACTCCGTCGCTCTCACGCTTTCTCTCTAAATCTATCATTCTCCCACCCATTTTACCTCTCACACTCATTCTGTCCGTCTCTTTCAAACTCCCTCAACCTCATTCACATTCCCTCTGTCACTCGCTCTTCACGCAGCCTTATTTCCCTCTCGCATTCGCTCCATGCGTCTGTTAATCTAGACCTCCCTTCGCACACCTCACAATCACTCTAGCTGTCCATCACTTTATAACTATCCATAACTCCAGCCTTCACGAGCACACTCAGTCAAGCTGTCCGTGCATCCAAACCTCCTCTGTCACTCTTACACTCACACGCACGATTCGTTTTTCTGGACCTCTCTGTACCTCGCTTGCACACCATCACACCTCCATTCCCTCCCAAACACCAAGTTGCAGCCCACATCCTCTATTCCTCACTCACACCTTCTCAAACCCTCAATCCTTTTATCACTCTTTCCCTCATGTGAAGGTCCAGATTTCCACTCGATTGTGCTTAAAAACCCGTCTGAAAATCACACAGAAGTATCAGATTGAATTCCACTGATGCCTTCGCTGGTTGAAACTATATATTACCCCAGTCCATGGCTTCACTGCATTCGCTGACCACCGCGAACTTCGAAGTTGTTCCCCTGTCCTCTGTGTTGGCAAATATTTGGTGTTTCCCCTCAACCAGTTCCCAAACACGTAGTCCTGACGCCTCCTGCAGCCCATTGAAAAAGCAAATGATCACTGTTACTCGAACCTCATCTTTGTTTGTGCCACAAAGCGAGTGTCTGTGAGATTATTTTTATTGTGTTTTAATTCCAGATCGGCTCCGGAAACCCACCCTTTCTCTGAAACTAGATTCCCGGATGTTTGTGAGAGGAGAATTCGCTGAGATCTCATGTTCTGGCAATTATCCTGGCAGCAATTTCTCTTTATACAGAGACGGCGAGTTTATCACATCACATTCAACTCCAGAGAATACTAACACAGCAATATTCACCACATCGGAGATCAGTAGAGGTCATTACTGGTGTAAATATACCATACACGTAGACGACCGAGAGTTCGCATCACCAGAGAGTGACCGAGTGGGAATCACTTTGCGGGGTAAGAGCTCAGTAAAATCTCACACAATAACCTGTATCTGCTTCGACCATTTACAGCAGCTCCTGCTGTAAACACTTTTTATAACATCGATCATATTTCCAAGTTACGTTCGGATGTCCCCTATGTATTTCACCTTTGTCTTCCCACGCCGAGCCCCTCTCCGCCATTCTCGCCATTTTCTGTGCACTTTTTTCCACCCATATCCCTAATCTTTATCACACTTCTCACCAAACACTTTCTCCCACACTGCACACCGTGTCTCTCCCCTTCCCGATTTCTCTCTTCACACAACCACTCTCACACTCAGTACTCCCGCTTCCCCTCCACGCGCTCTCCCCACCACTTTCTCTTCTTGCTCCCTTATCTCTCTGCTTCCGCCCACGAAACAATATCATCCCCCCACCGATATCCCACTTCTGTACTCGAGAGCCGGGACAATCGCGGCTCAAAATCATTACCTGTGCGTGTTACCTACGAATCAATGAAAGCCAAACCCCAGACTGTGCATATAAATTGGAAGTGATTTCGCTGTTAGTCAAGGTTTCCCAAAGTTTGCGCACAGAGAATCAGTTAGATCTTTGCTTTGCGTGGTTAACAGAAGCTGAGTGGTAAGATTTCGTCCCACATTGACTAATCTGCTCTTTCAGGTCCCACCGATCAGCCACATTGTTCTGCAATCAGCAATGCTTTGCAATAAAATGTACCCGCCTGGCTCCTTCAAGAGACCAATCGGTATTGACTTATTTCTGACATTCCAGCTGCATTTACCCCTCCTCCCACCGGGTGCAACATCACTTGTCATTTATTTGAGACCTTGTAAACCCAGGTTTCTGCATCGCTGTGAGGGGAACTGAAAACAGACATATTATTATCCGTTCACATCATGTTGATTTCTTCAATCATGTATCGGAGAGAGTCGATGAAATTAATGCAGTTGATGTTCGACATGTGCACTTTCAAAACACGTTTGGTAAAGCGCCACATAATAGACGAGTTTGCAAAATTGACGCGCATGGGAACATGGATCTAAAATTGTACGGGAGACAGAATATTGAAGTTAGCGGTATTCGAAGGTTGGAATGATGTATTCAGTAGTATCCCTCAGGGTCGCGATTGGGACCAAAGCTATGCTGATCTATATCGACGGCACGGAATTGGATATAAGGAGCAACCTTTTAATGTTTGCCGATGACACAAATCTTGTAAACGTTGGAAAGAGTCAGTAGGATGGTAGCTGACTGCAGGAGGTCAAAGACAGAATGATGAAATGGGCAGCGGCACGAAAGTAACAATTTAATGCAGTGAAGTGTGAACTGATGCACCTTAGGTAGAGGAATGAGGAGAGACAACATACAATAAATGGTAAGGGCTTAAAAGGGAGCGTAGCAGAGAGACCTGAAGTTTCAGATCATCAATTCCGTGAACGTGGTTGAGAATAGGTTGGAGATTTTTTTTTTACGAAGCATATGTGATACACGGCTTTATCAATAGGATTGTAGAATAACAATATTAGAGAGGTTATGCTGAACATTTGCAAATCACTGGTTAGGTCTCAGCCGGAGTATTGTGTCCAATTCTGGGCACCACAGTTTAGGAAGTATGTCGGGGTCTTGGAGTGGGTGCAAAGGAGATTTACCTGAATGGTACGAGGAATGAGGGACTTCTCCTTTCTAAGCGTTCATTGATTTTCATGTTCCTGCTGTGAAGTAAGGACTTACACAATTGTTGTAATGTTAATCAAGATTGATTAATTCAGTTTAATAATGATTATAAGTAACTAAAAGTATATATCAACGTCTGGTTACGTATCCATATATACTGTGGTTCACAGTGATTTAAATTGACCAAACTAAACGCTGCTATAGAGATAGAGGAGCAGTGTCCAATTTCTCAGTTGAATCGAAATATAAGTCCTGAAACTAGTATTGATATACAGTTTCACCCAAAATTATCCAGGTATTATTGTACGTTTAGTGCTGTTTGAACCGCAGTCTTCACCTTCCTTCGTTAGGAGCTTAATATGGTTCACAACAACAAGATAACATTTCTTCCTTGCACCTTTTTCTTTGGAATCGGTCACTATATATACTGTTGATTAGGCGACGTTCCACCTATTATTTTTCTTTCAAGGCTCCTATGTAAAAACAAAAGCAACATAGCTGTCTCCAGCTGCAGACCAATTTTCCATTACAAAATGACTGATAAGCAAAGGAAAAAGTTTGTTAATTATAAGAAGACTTTTGTTTTCTCCTCCTTGTGCAAAGATAATCTTCGAAGATCGTCACAACTAATTCCCCTCATAATGAGAATGACCATTCATCTCAAATATATGAACATCGCAAATATGATTTAAGGTGTTTTTTACACGTTAATTACGGAAATCCTATACTTTGGAAGAGAGATTTAAGATAATCGACAAAAGAAGCAGAGGGGAGATGAGGAGATTTTTTTTAATTCAGAGATTTGTTATGGTATGGAATGCACTGCTTGAAAGTGTGGAGGAAACAAATTCGATAAAGGCTTCCAATATGGAATTAGATAGTAACTTAAAAAGGAACACAAATCGTGGGTAGTGGGACTAGCCGGTCGCTCTTTCGAAGAGCTGTTGCAGTCCCGGTGGGCTGAATGGCCTCCTTCTGTGCTCAAGAATCTATGATTCTATAAGAAGAGGGCATTCGGCCATTGTGTTCTTAATACCCTGATCTCCTCCGTCCAATCTTCACAATCACCTCCTCGCGTTATCTATTTTAAATCTTAGTTGTTGATTTTGCTCTTTCAATGCTCTTATGGTCATCTTTTCCTCCCCATCTCCCTTGCTTGTCAGCCAATGGGACACTGTGCAGCGCTTCCTTACGCTATCCTGTGCGAAGTCAATCATGTAAACGCAGGTTTTTGTTATATTCTTTTGGATTAGGTGACCAGAAAATTCATTCCATACCGCATTTAATTCGAGCAATGGCCAAATGTCCATGTGCATTATTCGATATGAAGGCCTATGGAAAAACATAAAATGCCCAGCATAATTGAAAGCTATGGTGTCTATGCCGCTCTAAAAAATTGCAATGCTTTCATCCGTGTTTACCTGGCAACAAGATAAGCCTCAATACAGTGCAATAGCGTATTTATTTGTCGCTATGGAACTTCTTTGAATATTCAAAGTAAGATGATGCGTTTCCCCTTCTGTCGGACACCCGGCTGACAAAATAAAATGCTGTCAATGGATTAACCAAGATTCAAACACTAACCAGTGCTGTTTTTGTGTCTATGTAACAGATTCCTGGTCTACACAGAAGAAATTGAACATTGCTTGCCTCACCATGACGATCGCATTGTCTCTAGTAATTCTTGTACTGGTCTTGGTAGAATGCCGACCAATAAAAAAACACAGCTGTCAAGAAAGGGTTATATGAGAAACTTGCTGACATCTCCACTGGTCTCCTCAAAACTCTGAGAATCCATTCCGTCTTCAGCTTAAACTCTGCTTCAGGCCACAACATTTTCTCTTGGTATAATTTACTACCTATTCCTTTGCCGAGCACACCCTGATCCATTCACTTTCCAGTTCTGTGTCTTTCTCATTTACCGTCCTTTGGGAGGTGAATTGGGCACCTTGAGGTCTGAGCGACAAAATGCACCTGACAATAATAACAATCCCCTAATTTGATATTGAAGCTTTCTCATGAGGAAAACGTCTCAAAGCACATTTCATGATGTACTGTCCAAGGACTATGTATTTTTGGAGTAAACGCGACAGCTATTCTGTGCACAGCAGTGTCCCAGAATCAGCCTTCAAACAGTAAAACCACAGCACCACATGATTTGTGTTGAAGATGAACACACCTATTTTATAAAATTACTGTGCATTGGGTAAAAATTGAGCTGCTGTTTCTATGTGTTCATAAATTATCACATTAACAGATATCAGCAGGTGATGGATTTCCACTTGAAGGGTAAGGGAATGATTTGAGGTGTCAGTGGGCAATGAATGGAGACTTGCAATAAAAACAATATACAAATACATAGCGTTCTTTACACCAGAAATATGCCTGAAAGTGTTGTATGCAACTGACGACACTTGGAGACAAAATCCTGTCCTCTTCCCCTTCTCTTTTGTGGATATCTTGTTTCCTCTTCCTTGAAACTTTAAAACTGTCCATTCCACATTGATGTTTTCACATGTCAAATAATAAACAGATCATATTTTTCCTGTGATGTAGAGACATTCGAACCAGGAGAATGTCCCAAAGCGCTTCACGGAATATACTGTTAAGTGTAGTGACTATGAATTTGTGGGTGATCGCAACAGCTGATTTTCGCAGAGCAATGCCCACATGTGAAGATTTCCTTGTATATTGAATGGAATGCGTGCTCTAATCCTGCGAAACTTGCCGGTCCGTTGTGCTTGGCGTTACAATGGTACATAATAGGAATTTATATGTGCTTTTAATGCGTTTTGCCAATACGAAATATTTAGCTGTAATCATTTTAGTCATTTGTATTCTGTGAGTCTGTTCATTACGCTGTTTTAGTATGTATTTTTCCTATACTGGAGGAGATCTAACATTTATACTTTTATAGACATGTTCAAACGAAAGTCTGCTAAAAAAATGTGTTAACCTTTAATGTGAGACAGCCAGTCGCTTCTCCAGCTAATGGTCTTTCTATGGCTGTGTTTTCCAGGGAGGTTGTCACGACATTTATGTGACGTTTCTTTGATTAATATTTGTTATACTTCCTTTGCTTCGTTGGATATGTTAATGAGGAGAAGGAATATAGCAGCAGA